AGAAATTAAATGCTTGATTTATATTTTAATTTTAAGGAATCAAATTAGTGAGTGAGATAAACAAATAATTTGCTACTTCCTTCCAGTCCTTGTGCTTACATCTCTGCATTATATCCTGTGTTTATGTGAGTAGTATCATAAAATTGTTAAATGTGATATTTAAAAAACAATTATACCATTTATATCACTTCCAATACAACATTGGATTCTCTTTACAGCTTTGTCTTCATATTTGCAATTTTGTGGTAAAATCTGGACTGGAGGTAATAGGTTCTAAAACTTGCACTTGAACTAACTTTCTAATGTCCTCAAGCTTTGTACGAAGTTCTAGAGTCCTTTTTCTATTCTTGGTAAAACTCAGATTTCAAAAACTATGTTCCGCAACTCACTTCCAAACTTTCTAGGTCTTACTGCCATTTTTCAATGGTTCAAACCCCCTCCCTCTTAGAGCCATGAGAATAGAAACACGTGGCAACAATTGGTCATCTTTTCAGGTAGTATTTCTACCTTACAAAACATCATACAGGTCATTCATTAATAGCTTTTATTTTTACCTTTAATTTAGTCAACAACAATTTAAAACAATTATCTTATGCATTGTAATCTCCCTAAACCTCTTCTTTCCTTCCTCTATTCTCACAAATATTAGCAGAGCTGAATTTTCTTTAGCCTTTCCTGTCTATCCAGAAAGATGCCGCATCTAACTATATTGACATGTGCTCTCTTTTCTCCATTCTCAATTTTAGAAAATAAATAATAAGACCTCATTGAAGGAGGGAAAAGATTATCAGGGTCAGAAAAGACAAGATGGCACTTATACATGCTAGCGTTCTAGGTCTCATACATTGAAATCCAAATAAAGTAGGTTTGTGGTAATGGAGCCTCTGAAGAAGTGTGCTGGAGGAGGCGAGTCTTGGTGCTACATGTCCCCAAGCCTGGCAGCTCCAAACTTAAACCAAAGTGCAGCTACTTTCGGGTTTGCATATGCTAATGTGAGTCATAATACCAGTGCATAAAACCAAGAACTATTCTCATTGGATTGTGATAATTAGAATGTGTTGTCCCCACTTTGTGGGGCCCAGCTGCCTGGCTGATCTTGTGTCATTGTGGCTAGCTCCTTGATCACCACCTCACTGAGAATGTGTAACTCATCTCTGGATCCCAGCTTTGTCACCTCAACTATTGACCCCATGTTAAGTGTCCTCATTTCTTTCATTCTCCATCTTCCGTCTTTCATATAGACTTGCACTCACCCCTGATTCAATACTCCAACACTAGATCCATACTCTCATCTGAAATTCCATTTCTCTGCTCTTCTTGACCTCACAATAAATTGTCTGTACTCACTTTCTCCATTTCCTCATTTCTCATTTTCTATTTAGCCCACTTTAATTAGAGTGTCAAATGCTCAAAGATCTCTTTTAACTCTATAGAAGATTCTCATCGTTTAAGTTTCATCTCAGATGTCACTTCCTTTGCAAGGCATCCTCTTTCTGCCACTTTTAAAGTGACCCCCTATTATATTGCAATGCCTAGTATCTTCATAGTGTCTGTCACTATTTAATATTATATTGCTTATACAATGTGTCTATCATGTTATTGTATTTATCATGTTCAGAGTATGTTACTATTTGATACATTTTTCTATTTCTTAATTGTGTTTTCCCCAAATATGTGAAATTCATGGCTGCAGCAATCTTGAGCTCTACCTGCACTTTATTTTTCACTAAATACATATTTTATCAAATAAAGATTCACTTCTGCCTAGAGTCTCAGTAACTATGCCCCACTCTGACTATTTATATGAAAACATGTAAATAATGGATGCTACCTAGATTGGAATAGTTGGTACTTTCCCTTGGCCTTATTATTTTGTACCATTATCCCCTTCTGTGAGGCAAGGGAGTAATAACAGATGGTCTCTGATACTCTAGTTAATTTCTCTCCCATTCTCTCTAGCTCAGTAGACTTCACCAGTATTCACCAGAGCTAGATTATGAGTGATGAACCGTGTTTAGGTCATTCCAGATTAATTCATTCTCTTCCAGTCTTGATATGCTGGGTTATTAAATTTACTGAACAGAATAACTCTTTCTGAAAACCAGATTTTCCATCCTTTTGGAGAAAAATGTTGAAAACTTCACAATTTCTAATTCTACTTGTCCATGCATCTTTTTTTTAACCTTATTACATCTTGCTGGAAATTTTATTCACGTTATTTCAAAAGTATGTTTCTTCGTAAAAGAAGTATAAAGTCCAAATTTAAACCAGTCCTTCCCTGAATTACAGAGGCATACAAATAAATGCATTTACCTTAACGCGAATGCTGAAAACCATCTTGATCTAAGAAGGCTGAAGATTTCTTTGATATTAACTAAGAAAACCTGGGTTTTAGACCTTATTTCTTTCTAATGAATGGTTTGTAGACATGAAATATGGTATGACAGAATTGCAAAACTAAGATGAAGAAGGTCCCAATTACTTTAAGGAGACAGCGCGAGTGTACACAAGCTTGAAAAACAAAAGAATTGCAAAGAAATGATTTTGATGATGTTGAATTTATATTGTGGAGGAAGGTAGAGAGGACTAAGTCAGAGAGACATCCCAGTAGACTGACGTTTTCTCTCAGGAAATCCTGATCATTTCTCTCTCTTTCAGGAAATCTCCTTAGGTGTTCTGAGAAAATAAATCTCTCTCCAAGCGTACATTTATTTGATAGATTCCTTCAGAATGACAATAAGTGCTTAGTGAAACAGTTTTCTATTTTATTTATAAAATTCTCATAATGCCAGGAGAACCCAGATATTTCCAAACATTTTTAATACATGGAAACAGATCAACATTTAGCATTTTAGGCAAAAGTTGTAGAAGTTTCAAATTTATGATCCATTTGCTTAATCCCTTAGAGTTGTATGTTGCTCTTCTCTGCTGGTGCTACTATGTCCTGTAACACCTGTGAAAAGATCTTGAAAAACACTCAGATCTGTGAGTTTTAAGAAAATAGGAACGTTTTAAAGAAAATTCTAACCTTGTTGTCTTTTTGAAGCTTGGATATTCTAAAGCATCTTGTGATGAAGAAAGTATATAGTAATAATGTTAAACTCATTTTTATTTAAGAAAACACTTGAATTTCTTAAGCTGATAAACATAGCTTTAATTAAATAATTTTTTTTCATATTTTCTTGACAACCTTTTTTCTTGGTCTTTTGTTATCTGATTTGTTCTTCAAAATTGTTAGAGACATTTGATTATTTACTGATTATTTTGATTTTCCAGAAAGAAAAAAATTAAATCTTCTTGCTGAAAGATCATTTGTATTGTGCTTTGTAATTTGTATTTGTTTTGTTTCAGAGACTTATTCTCATTTTTTTTCTAAGGCACATTGATCTCCCCTCCATGTTTAAATAGAATTAGCAGAAATAGAATATTCTAGGGAAACTGTTTGCTTTAATATGAGATTAAAGGCAAAGCATGCTGGGAATAGTCAGAGGATTTGACTGGTGACTTTCAGAGACCAGCTCTACAAGGGACTGTGTCCTACTCACCTGTTAGCATATTCAGGCTTCTGCACTCCCTGCGCTCCCTCCGCATCCATGTTCTTCCTCCTCTCAGGCTCTTCCATGTTCTTGCCTTCAATTGTGATGGTCCCTAAAATTCCTTTCATCCTCTTCTTACATATATTTTCTACTTTGTAATCATAACCACAGTCAGAACCATAAAATCTCCACCAAAATCCTTAGGCAAAGTAAATTCCCGTGGCACCTGTTATAATACTTATGTCACACAGCAGTTAATAGGTTACACATCTCTCTTCCAAATTGCTATCTAATTAAGGATTAAAGCATTATGGAGAGTTCCAAGATAATATTAAATATTAACTTATGTAGTAATAATGATAATAAATAAAGAGGTATATCTTTATATTGTGAAAGAATTTGCTCATATCATCTATTATTATTAGCACTTGTAATTTATTTAAAATTATGACAACTTATACAACTATTTTTATTATATAAAGCATAATATGTTTTAATCATAAAAAATTGAAAACATAATATTTAACAGTGCATTAATACAATTTAAAGTTGTAGCTCTAAAATTTAAAAAGTGGGAAAAAGCCAAATGAGAACTTTTTTTTTGCATTTCTCAATGTATAGTTCAACATTTTTTTTAGAGTAGGATTAGGTCAATGAACTCCATAACTTAATACTTTTATATTGCATATTTCATATTACCTATATTTTATATTACTTAGGTAATTTAAATTCTTTATTAATGTTTTTATTTTGGTATTTATTCAACATTATTTCTGTTCTGCTGACAGATTTATGCTTATATCATTATATTATAAGATAGTATAGTCTATTGTTGTGCTTATTTAAAAATCAATTTTTTTCTGATAACCCATTGAAATACAACTAAAATAACCAACAAACTTCTAAATTAATGCTTTAATTAAATATCTACATCTATATAATTCTAAATAAAAGTGTATTTTCTTTTCATAAGTTCCTGCAAATGCAATGAAATTTTACAAAAACATATATGCTCAGCAACTTACATCCTGCCTTTTTAGATAAAGGCACGGAAAAACCTTGTGATACAGTTGGTCTCTGTCTACCCACAAGGCCAGGTAAAGCCTGTTCCAAGAGTGGCTTGCATGTGTGCACAGTCGTTGGGTTGCAGGTATCCAGAAGTAGAGCTGATAGTCTTCAATAGACCCGTGAGAGGAACTGTTAGGATGGGGCAAATCTGACGGAAAAAATCTGCATCTTATAGATACAACAATCAGTTAAATAGCTCGAAAAAGTAACATTGATGACCATGATTAGAGAAGTTTTGTAACCTTTTAAACAAATTAACTAATAATTAATTTTAATTGCACAGCAACAATTATTTGAGCACTCACTACCCATTAGTCTTAGGTATGTTATGTCTTTCGACTAAAAAAAGATTAGTTTTATTTTTAAATACTTCTTTTCTTTTTTTTTTTTTTCCAGATGACACGAGAACAATACATACTAGCAACACAACAGAATAACCTGCCAAGGGCTGAAAATGCACAACTGTACCCAGTGGGCATTTATGGATGGCGAAAGAGGTGCTTATACTTCTTTGTCCTTCTGCTGTTGGTTACCATGATAGTTAACTTAGCCATGACAATATGGATATTGAAAGTTATGAATTTCACTGTGGTAAGTACTGCCATGATTTTACATCCATTGCTTTTGGTTCAAAGATGAGACAGCTCTGTTATTTTTATTTTGTTAATTGAAAGTTATTAATCTCAATCTTAAGTACGTGTCTTTAAATTCCAAAGACTGTCATATATTATTTTAAGATTCTATTCAATATGTTTATCCATGACACACATATGATATTACTACCAATTAAGTGTGGGAAATTTACAGCATGAGACAGCATACCACGTTGATTGATTAGAATGTTAGAAGACTTTAAGCCACCAAGCACGAATTATTGCTTGCCAGCCCTGGGATTCTAAGAAATGAATCAGTTTTTAGAGACGGCATTTCACATTAAAATTAATATTATAAATCAGAAGTACCTTTGAATTACTTTGTATAGAGTATTCACATTTATATTTCTCTATATCTGCTTTCTATGTAACATACTGCATGATCGAATCTAAATCCTGAACTTTCTCCTGGGCAGCATGGAACAATGCCTATAATTGCTATCAGATGGTGATCTTATTCTTTTGGAGCACGAACATGGTAAATACAAGATAAACCAGAAATTAAATCACTCTTTTATAAAAATTAGTAGCAAAATAATTGTATAATTCATGGATAAATTTTCCTTCCGTTTATTGAATGTGTACAATAAACTTCTGAGTATGACTTATCTGGGAAAAATTCGCTGCTTCAGCAAGGTCTAGTTCAACTCATTTTATATTTCTGGCTAAATTCTTAAACTTGTCTACTCTGCCTTTAAAACATTCTGCCTTTGCTTAGAGACATCAGATAGCTTCACATTTACACAGGTATCTTTCACTTGCTCACCAGACAGCTGTTATTCTTTAGAACTTGGCATCCTCCGGGGCGAGTGTAAAGCTGGGTATTTAATGGCACTGATCTTCCTATAGTGGGCTGCTTTAAAAAAAACAAAAAAACAAGAAACAACTCTGCTGTGTATTGATTTAGCAAGAGTAGTTTTTTTCTGATTCACTAGCATCTAATTCTAACTCGAAATAGAATCTCAAAAGGGAAAATAAGCCCAGCATCTGTCCATAGTGTAGGGTACCACAGTTGCGTGCAGAAGGAGGCAGGGAGGGCGGGTGGCTTAACCTTCCAGAGAGGAAAAGCCATAACCGTGCAAATGAGGATAAAACAGCATATGCTCGTGGAGAAAAATGAGCTGAGCAAGGGTTCCATTTTTTTCCTATACCGTGCAAATTTTTAAGGGTATTTATCAAAAGAGAAATGAAAGATGAAGAAAAGATGGGCAGAGCTCAGTATACTCCAGGGTTAGAGAAAACAGTGCAGCCTAGAGAGGGATACATGCTCAGGGTCCCTGATCAAGGCCTGTGAGTATGTGGACGGCCAGAGGGGGAGTTGGGGGCCCCCAAGCAAATTATTGCTTGATGAGACTGGTAATACACCTGAACCTTTGCTTTGTCCCAAGAGTTGGCTCAGTTCCCCCAGCCCCCCAACCCCACAAACACTTGGGAATATTTTGGCCTGAATGTCACTAATTCCACCCTAGTCTTTCTGTTCTTCTGAGCTCTGCTCCTACCTTCCTAGATTAATATCTGGGCTCTATTAATGATTCATTGATCATGTAGTAGGGGTAACGTATATACCCCTACAGATTCTTTTATGTTGTCCTTTCAGCCAAACTAGCAGTTGCTGCCAGCAACTTTTTCAACCTCATTTTTCTTAACTAAAAAAAGAAAACATTTTAAAAAAGAGATAAAGAGTAGAATTTTCTCCAACTTTTAAAATTTTGAGACTTCAGTTTCTTTTACCAAAAGACGTGTTTCAACATTCATGAAAGATGTGATCAACTGTCTCACTTTAGGGAGCCTTGATTCTATCCAGTGACCAGGCCACGGGAATTTTCAATTCAAGCAATGTAAGCTTCTCAAGCATATTTAAATTAATTAAGAAAATAGGCAAATGCATAATTACGTGCCTGCATGCATCAGGCTCCCAATACCTTGCCCCATGCCGAGGCCAAGTCTGGATAAGGCATTCAAGGGAAATAACTGAAACAATCACCTTTGTCCTCAAGATCCACACAGCCCTCAGGGTTTCTGTCACCTATGGAGCTATTTAATTTGAACCTCAGCTGGCCAACATGTAAATGTCAACATATTCTTGGGGATAATGAAAAAGAGTCCATAGGAGTCTTGGTATTTATTTGTTTTTATTTTTACCATATCTTTTTTATTTTAACCACAATTTTACTTTTTTATAATTAAAATAGAAGGTTCTCCTTTGTTCAGCCATGTAAGCTATTTGTATGTAGTTGAAATTTAGTTGTAGTTGTCTGTAGTTGAAATGGAAAGATGAAGTTGCAATTATTGTATCAAGATAACCTTTGTAAGGTAACATACTCTGTCTTAGTTCATACTTGTTAGAGAACTTCTGAACTACTTAACTGGTTGCAGACTTTAGCAGTCCTGAATACTACACATCAGATTAAGTTGTATGTACTTGAAAATTGTGAAATAATTTGGAATCCTCTTATTTTAGAGCAGTAAAAAAAATCAATTTCATGTTTTCACTAGTACATTATGATTGTATCAGTCTTCTGCAGCGAATACCCAAATCACTTGCCATACTGTAGTAAGAAGTAGCAAATGATGTGTAAATTGTTAGCGGGGTATTATTGATCTGTACAAAATGTATTTCACTTTCATTATAACTGTTGCCATCAAATACATGGAAATATGTGGTTTTTAACATCTTTTATTTGAGCAAACTGGGCACATTATTATCAAAATAATATGTTTTCAGCACAAGTGTAGCTGCCAACCTATTTTATGATGCTTCTTGGAGTCTATCATTCTGACCAATATTACATGATCTGTATGGTTGATACGACCTTATTCTGTTTCTCATTTTGTGGAAAATAAAATTACTTTGCTATTGAGATACCTGGTTGCAGAGAATCAAGAAAAAGGAAATAAGTTTATACTGCAGAGTGAAAGACTTAGGATAGATATAAACGATAATTTCCTGGCGATGTGAGTTGATAAATCTAGGAATGAGGTGAAGAGAGAAATTTTGGAACTTCATTCTTCCAAGATCAGTACAAGCCAATTACTTCTTCTTGTTGGTTGGTTCATAAAATATCTTCGTGGTTTAATATAGAAGGATTAGTCTCGTAGAGCTATCAAATCCAGGCACTCTGCTGAGACAATATTCTTTTCTTGGTTCTAGATAAATTAGGTCTATATTTGAAAATTGAAAATTAATACAGTAATTAAGTATTTATTTTAATCACCAAAGTACCAAGTAAATGTGGGTGGCATCCAATGGCAACTTAGTTCTATTAGGTATGTTAACTAGCCAGCAAAAGAAAGAATGGAAATGTAAGTGCCAATTATTAAGCAAAGAGGGAGAGGAAAGTCATGAATGTTGTGGCTGAGAAGTCAAGAATACCCAGAGGTGGGTAATAATTGAAACAATCAATTAATTGAACAAATTGGGGGAAAAAAAGTCTTAGAGATTCGTATGATCAGTGGGATGAATGTTGCTTGAAAGGAAATCCTATAAGAAGTAGGACTGAATAAAACAGTCTTTTAGGATTGAAAAGGAACTGGGAAATATTTAGTTCAATGATCCACATATTGCTATTGGTCACTCTGCAATATTCTCTTCATTTGGTCCCTCAGCATCTGCTTAAATCTCCATTTGGTTGATAAGCAGACTATCCCATTAAATCACTGGATAGTTCTATTTTTATTTAGTATATTGATGTTTGTGCAATTTCCCACTATATAACTTCAATCATGGGATCCTAGTTCCATTATTTCAATCAGACATGAATTTATTAATTAATTTGTCAAGACCACAATATGTTCTTTTATATATACACACGCATATACACATACACATATATATGTACATATACAGTTATACACATATACACATCAAGGATATATATACCCTTGATCATATTTTCTTTTAATGTCTAAAATCGGAATATGTAAGAGAGATTCTTATGCAATCACTTTGATTTCTTTAGTTGCCACTTGCTTTTCTTCGTTTTAAATATTATCTATATTACATAATTACAATTATAAGTTTACAAGACTACCAACCCCTTTAGGAAATCTTTCTGTGTGTAGCTATAGGCCATAGACTCCTTGATATATTTCATCATATTTTCTTTTCTTTTAGTGCAGCTTTCTAAAGTTGAGAGTACATATATTACTATATTCAGTTTTCTGCTTTCTAACTTTCTCAAAGTTAAAATATTTTTAAGTTAATTTTCTGGAGAATGGGAAATAATATACATTTGCAGAGTCTTAAGTCTTAGGCTCATTCTAATACCTTGGTAAGTGAAGTATCATATATTTCCATCTCACTCTTGTGACTATTTTTTACCTTCAGCATTAACCCAGTTATATATTATTCATAGACATTATCAATCTAACTAAAATCACTAACGTACATTTGCAATATGTTATCATTTGCTAGCGTGTCTATCCAAAAACTTGTTACTCCTACAGTTTTCTTCATTTCACTTTCTAATAGAATCATGACTTTGAATGAACTTTTCCATCTACATGTATCCAGCCAGTTCTTATACTTATCAAAGCTGTGTTCTCATCACAAATGCATTTTATTTCTTACCCAGAATCTAAGGATATGTTCCAATATCTGTGAAGCTTAAATATGAAATAACTACGTTTTGTTGATTTTTACTTGTTTCTTTTTCCTCTCGTTAGTATGTTCATTGAAAACACTTTCTCTTTATATGATTCTTTTATTGTCTGTCTGCCCTCCCCACAGATAGAACTAAGCTCCAGGAAACCCAGGGATTTTGACACTTTTTTCACTACTGTATTCTCAAGGCAGAGGACAGTACCTGTCAGATAATTAGCCCTTAATAAGCATTTGTGGAATAAATATCCATTTTTTACATTGCCTACATTGAAAGCCAGCTAACTCTTCACTTCACTATGATTCGTGTTCTTCCAAAGGCTTGCCTTGAGCTGAGA